CTTCCACTTACAGTACTTTTGGAGATATGTCCATGTGTCAATTAGGTAAAATTTCAAGTCCATCAAAGTGTTTTACTGAGGAAATCAAACCAGTTCTTATGGAAGTTACTTTTGATTGCTAGCAATCAAGGGCTAGCAGACGAAGGGCCTGGAAATGAAAGGTTATCTTTTTTGTTACCAGTTTTCTAAAACATTCAGTCTATTCCAGCTGCTTACTTCTGGTATATATTGTGGATATTTGCTTTACCATGGCAGAGACTCTCGTAAAGAGAGAGGAAAAAAGGAGCAACCTGACTAGAAAGAGTTAAGACTCTCCCAGACGTAGACATTGAATTACATTATGTTCACATTTGAAATGTTTATATCGTAATGGAAGTCTTCACTTTTGTGTTTGTCATGGAAACTCAAAGTTAATGTTAATTATGCACTATTAAAAAGCCTAATCCTTATCAAATGGATATCACCTCTTTTTCCTAGATGAGTAGCTAGCTGACAGGTCCCAGTGAGCTGTCTGTTATAGAAAGGCTATCACACAAAATGTGCAACAAATTACTTTTTTTCATGGATACTTGGTCTGCTTTTCTCCTTCTGCATTAACCCCTTTCCCCCAAATGGCAGTAGTTATCGTAAATGTCTCTCTCTCCTTACTTTTTACTTCCACATATGCGTTCTTCCGTATTCTTTCATATGCTGTTTGAATTCTGTAACAATTAAATGATAAAATTAATTAAATGTAAATTGCTTTTTGAAAAAGAAAAGAGAAAAGGTTGTACAGAGTGCATATAATTTACCTCTACAATTGAAATGGCTGCTTTGCTTCACTGTGGTTCCCTAGGGTAAATAACAATTTAAATATGTTTTGAAAAATTCATGTAACTGTAGTAAGACAGCTTTCTACCCGGTTTCTTGTGACTTTTCTGAGTTCTGTACATATGTTCACATGCATAATTATCTGATGCTGACTTACGCAGCAAATGCCTCAAAAATGTGGGGCTTTTTTCATTGCATCTGAACAACTTGAGTGCACAGTCTGGTTGCTGGGCCAATTTACATTTGCTTCTTGCTGCAGAAATCTTCTCTTTAAGATGAATGGGATTGCTCTACAGTCATTAAGGTCTAGACCGAACAAGAAAGTTTTAATTAAAACTTACCATTTTTAAACATAAGCCCACCTGTACCCATACCTGCTTGTTTTTAGTGTAAACCAGACATTCCCATTTAGATTAAATCAATTAGGATAGCATTTAAAATCCAATTTAAAGCAAAGCAACTGTAGCTTTCTGCAATAGTTTCTAAGTATTTCAACACAATTGCGCTTTATCAGATTTGAATGCTCTCTTTCTTCTTCCTGATAGTCCAGAAGAAGGAAATTTCTACTAAGTGGTTTGTTGTGAGGGCCCTGGCCAAGTCCCAGAACCGCTGATCTTTTCACTAACCAAGGGAAGAAGTGTTTCCCTCTAGGATTCCCATTTTGCAACAAGCTGATTGATAGAGAGGAAGGAGGAATTCCAGGATCTTGATAATGGCCATTGTGGTACGTGCAGGAGTATTTTCTCCAGGAGTAGTCTCCAGTGTTGCAGAGCTCATGAAGTTACGTATCTGTGTCATGAGTCTCGTACTGTCTTTACCAATTCCTTAATTATGAAAAGCAAAAACCAGTGCTCTTCTGACTGTGATGCTGATTTCTCAGGAGACCTGTGTGAATCACTTAACATATATGCCTCAGTTTCCCTGAGGAAATGAGAATCTTTTCATGGGGACGTCAGGAGGCTTGGTTACTTACATAAGACTGAGAGCTTTGAATGAAAGTCGCAGTAGTACTGAAAGCTGTTCTTTAGCTATTAACTCCTTAAAAGAGGAGTTAAAAAAGGGAATCTGGCTCTGGCTTAAGAACAGCATTCAAAACATGACTGTTGTAATGATTATATCTTCCTCGCAAATCAGGGCTGCAAGATTGAAGTTTCTGTTAGAAACTGTGTGGCAACCAGAAGAACTGTGGATTCAGGGAATCTGACAGGTTGAAGAAAAGATCGAAAGAGCAGTCCTGAGTGAACTCTCATTCAGAACGACAATACAGGACTGAGGAAATTTAGAGGAATATAGATTTTAGCTCTATTGGTTTATGGAAAATCTAATCTTGTTAGGCTCAATTCTACCTGTAGCTCTTGTACAATTAGAAGAGGAATAAATCATTCCAGATTTTTCAGGCGTTTCTGATTCTTTGGAGGCTGTAGATTCCCTGCCAATTGAAGTCACTCTCGGACGCTGGAAAATGTCACCTGGCGGCATCCTATGGAGAGAGGCAGCGGGCTTCGAGGACGTGTGATCTTCGCAAAGTTGCACTTTCTGTGCTATTCTAGCTCCCTTCTAGCCCGCACCTTATGGTTACAAGCTCATCCTGCAACTCTTAATCTATATTATATGTTACTCTGTCATTTCAGTGTCAATAACGTTTATATGTTATATAGCAGAAGGGCTTTGTAGGTTCATGGTAAGTTTCTGGAGGAATAATCTAAATCCCAAACAGTGCCTGAGTAGCTGGCCTATGGGCTGAGGAGTGCAGTTTCATTCTCCAGCATGTTATCGGAGTACTTACTAGACCTATGCATTTATTTGTGGAATGCATAAACATCCTTCACAGAGCCTTTACTATCCCTCTTCCTCGCTGATAGAGTGTGTGGGAAGGTCTGACGTCTACCGGAGACAAGCCTGCAGGCTTGGCATAGTCCCCTTACTCACACCCTCCTTTGTGCAAGCGAACATTATTTTATCCTCTGCTTTGTCTTTAGCAGAGGCTGGTGCAAGATCTTCAGTACTAAAAATGATAGATTAAAAGATTGATTTTCAGCTGAGATTTTAAATGAGAAGAGAAATTAATGAAGAAGAGGCATATCAGAATAATGCTTCAGCTGGTAGGACCTGCAGAGGAGGACAGTATTGCACTGGTTGTGGCAACACTATTCAACAAAGCTAGGCAGGTAGGAGAGTCAAAAAAGGGAGTAACAAAGAAAAAAGTCAGGTCCTTGGGACCATTTTGATTAAGTAATTTATCTGATTAAAAATAAATAAATGAAAATTATTTAATTTCACTGTAGTTGTTTTCTGTTGTGTAATTAATCATTTATACTTCCATATATTTGCACATGTGTAAATATTTACAGACACCTGTGCGCATATATATATGTTTATATACACACATACACCTACATATTATAAAATACAGGGCCACAGTTAATTCTGCACCAGCCGATAAATAGCTTGCAATCAAAATCAGATAAAATTTTAAGTAGACATGGGAAAAAAGTCTTTGCTCATGTTAGTCTATTAACTTCCCTTTAGCTGGCTTGTTGAAATGTGGCTTGAAGTGCTTGACAGTGATCGTAATCACACGCAGTGACACTCTTTGTGTCGGTGTTGGTAAAGACAAAGCTGATCAGTTGTGTCCTTCCTGGAAGGTAATTTTTCATTGATGTATTAGGGATTTGGTGTTGGAAACCTTATTGGCAATGCAAATGCTGTCATTATTTTCATGACAGGTTCAGCATTGCTGTTGTTTGTGACAAAAGTCGTATAGACCACACAAGGTAACTGGAAAGGAGAATGGGGTTCTCAGAAAGGAAATTATTCCAAGGGCTGGATTTTCTGTTTAAGATTAGCATGTCTATTCCTTAACAATCTCAAACTTTCTTATGTTCACGACATGAGAAATTACTCACTGTTTATTTTTCTAGTACTCACTTGTAAGTTACTTTACCTGTGTTTTCTATACCGAGGTAGTATTACTGGGTTTGTAACAATTTGCAGTTATAAGCAGTTCCAAACAGGGAATTGCTAATGAAGCTTTAAGAACTAATTTAAAAACTACGTGAGAGCATTTACACTGTGAGCAAAGTGCAGGCCCTGTATCTTCTGCTCTGCTTAAGACTTGCATTTGTATTACTAAGTATGTTCTACTACATTAGTTTAGGAAATAGATTGCAATTTTAATTACATGTTGTTAAGTGTTACATTTTTAAGTGTCATCAGTCATTGCTAAATCATGATAAATGAGGTTTTTAAATTTTGTGTTTGTTGTGTTGGATGGCAACGTTTGTCTTCTCTTTATGACTTACTTGCTACTAATTTTACAGAACAGATTGTTAAAACCCAACATGGATGGAGGTATTTGCTTGAGGGTTTTGCTGTTTTGAGGTTTTGGTTTTAAGCTTTATGGGTCTTGTGTGCTTTGGTTAAGTCAAAAATATTTCCTTTTGTTTTGATGGCCTGACTCTCTGATCACCTGTGACTTACGCCAAACTGTAGTTCTATTGCATAGTGTGAAATTGGAAAATCTGTTCTGTGTGTGTTCTAATGGATGTGACGGTCATTAAGTATATGAGTCTTCTGACGTTGTAATCAGATGTGATTCAGTCTGTTAAATATCCGTGAAACAACATCTGCTTCACAGAGTGACCTTCTGCTAAAGAATACTTAGTGTCTATTAGCAGATCATAGTGCAGATCTGCCTTATTTGAAATGCACTAAACTAGAGTAGTCTACTGCTGTTTAGCAACTAGCTTGTAATAATTTATTGCAGTTAAATAAAGCTTAAAAAACTCCATTAAATAATTATAGGGATTATAAGCATTTCGAAAACCTTTGTGTTCTACTGAAATTACCCATTTAATTTCAGGGTTGGTTTGTTAAAAAAAGCTGAAATCTAAAGGCACATTAGGGGATCTGTCAGATGCTATTTTCTGTAGGTGTTAATAAAACCAGATTAAAAAAAAAAAAAACTGAAACAAATTAAAACCAAAAGCAATTTTACCATCTGTTGTATATTAATTAGAACTTGGTGTATCAAGGGTAAACTTGCTGTTAGAGAATGTCACTGAATGTCTGCTAATAGAATAATATGCAAATATATTAGATGATAGGATTATATTGAATTTCTCATTCTGCTTTGGTTGTAGCAAATGCTAAGATGGTGTATAACGAACTTTAATTTTCTTTCTTCTTAGAACAACCTCCAAATAACCAAGGCCAGTCGACCCTGCAGCCTTTGCCACCTTCTCACAAGCAACATTCAGCACAGCATCACCCATCCATCACCTCACTTAACAGAAACTCACTGACAAATAGGAGGAATCAGAGTCCGGCCCCGCCGGCTGCTTTGCCCGCCGAGCTGCAAACCACACCTGAGTCAGTCCAGCTGCAGGACAGCTGGGTCCTTGGCAGTAATGCGCCACTGGAAAGCAGGTAATTACTTAGGTACTATTACAGACTGTGGCACTTCTAAATCATTTAACTTGATGAAGGATGACCAGCAGCTAATACTTCCCCTCATTCAGCAAACAAAACTGAAACCTTTTTGGTACTAAAAAAATCTATCCTCTTTCTAAAATCCGCAGTGACACTCTTTTCCCGTACAATGCCTACTGCAGAGCAATTGGACTCAGAGAGTGTATTAATTTTTCCAGACAGGCATTTTCCTTCCTGTTCATAATCTGTGACTTTTGACTGTTGGAAGAAATTTCTTGCCTTGCCTGCCAGATACATTATGTGTCAAGTATATACTGCCATACAGATCAAATGTCAAGGAATGTTCAGTAATACTTTTTAACTCTTGTACTTGGTCCTTTAAAAGAAATACCCATGTGATGCTAGGTGTTTATCAAAGTTGCCTAGGATTTGGTGAGACGAAAGAACTCACTTAGTTCTGGTATAATGATAAATTTGTCCTCATTCTTTTTTGTCATTTAGAATTGATAACAGGCTCTAGGAAAGAAGCAGCTAATGTAAGGGGTGACACTAGCTTCTTTAGATGCAGAGTGATGTATGATGCAGAATGATCTATACAAAAATTTTACAGGACTTACTGGCACAGAGCTGAATTTACCTACAGTGATTAATTAATACTCATGTAACACTCAATCAGCACTAATTTTTTGTTAACGAAAGCCATAATATTCCAATTTAGTCATCAAACTGAACATTTATAACTATATTGAAGCTGACAGTAATACTTGAAAATGTTTATGAAATCCCTTCAGTTCATTCTTTGAATCCCTTTAAATTCTGTTTTGTAGCAAAGTAAAGATAGTCCAGCTGATTTTGACTCATTTAAAACATACGTGACCTTAGGGTTCTCTGTTAGGTAGTTTTGTCCCCACAGATGTTTCATACAGCTCTTCTGTCAAGACTGTTGGGAATGGCTGTTCCTTTGCTTAGTTTCCTTGAACCCTCCTGTATTGCTTATGAGACATAGACACTGCGGAATAGGATTCCACTGAAGGGATTTCATCATCATACTCAGACAGTTTAGTACATTATGAAAGAGTTTTCTTATAGAACAAAGAAGTTTGTAGTGGGAATAAGATGTTTGACGTTTTCCAGACACTGGTTAATCTTCAGTAGATGGGTAAGGTCTTTGATGTTTGCTTCTATTGCCATGTATGTTTTTGTTATGTTGATAAAGAAAAAGACATAGGACTTGAATGAGAATACCACTTCCAACCTGGAGAAAATATTTTTTGCTGAGTAGAGTCTTTTCGTCTTTTATATGTTCCTGATGAAAAGCTAAGGATATTTGAATGTTCAAATTTTGAACACTTGTGAATGAGCTGAAATGTGAAAATTTCACATAAAAACTGACAGATCCCTACTGCAGTTTCTGTAATAGTCTCACTTGGTTGGAACTCTGGAGGCGAAGAACCCATCTTATTTGTCATTGATTTTTCCCTTTTTGGTTAAGATTCCCTACTGAGTGTGATTCTTAGGCTCAGTTTCAACTATATAACAACCTTGTGATAGGTCTCTTCCTTCATCGTTTTCTCAGCTTAAAAGAAAGTTTTATTTCCTCTTTGGCGATATTTTAGCTTATGCTCATAGTCAGCTACCGGCCCCCCGCCGCCCGCGC